AGGTGACAACCTTTTTTCATTGAATTGTTCAACACCCCAACTCAATTTATTATAGAGCAAATACCCTCCAAGAAGCTTGCAATTGTCCAGAACTGCTTACTAGAGAGCTTGGAAGAGTACCTTCACCATTTTCTCAATTTGAACCTTGACTACACTTAAAGGATTTCCTATGGAAAAATTAAGTGAAATGACATGATGAAGATGAAGGATCTATGACCCTTGTTCTTTCAAAGAGGAATTTAGTGAAAATTTTCCCTCGTAAGTTACTAATGATTAAAGAATTACGAATCCTTTTGTAAATGCTGAAAGTGGAATATCTGTAGATCTAACTAATAAAGAAGAGGACTTACTAGAACTAATGTAAGACATTCTTTGAAATAAATTATAAACATGATATTTTACATTTCAAGCCTACTTTATGAATGGAGTATCCAGGACTGTCAAAATAGAACTATGAAATACTTAACATTTTTGACAATGTATCTATGTGAAAAGGGGTGCATTCAAATCAAAATAAGGTGCATGCCAGCCATCAAGCCAGTTTTATTGTTCAACCTATCATCCATCACTCACTCATAATATTTTGATGTTTGTTCTGATGAAATTCTCAAACATCCCACTAAAGACAAAACTTTGCAACTGACTGCACCAGACATCTTTCCTGTTATTAGTGTTGCTGGATATTATAATAAGAGTAATTAAAGTAGATGCTACTTTTAAGGAGGCATCTACCAGACACTTAAATGTGAACTTCTGAAGAACAGCAATCTATGCAAAGATGTGGAACAGAAAATGAAACAGATGGAAAGAGTAAGGATGTTAAATCAGCCCTTGTACACTGGTCTGAAAAGGCTTAAGTGATGCAACTTTATCAGTACCCTAAAGAGCTCTGGAACTACATAGAAGTACAGCTGAGGATTATGATTTGTGATGTGTAAGACAGTACATTAAGTGGTTATTATTAAGTGTTGGGGGTAGTACACAATATTTTCATAAGTAGCTCATCATCATCAAGAAGGCGGACAAGCACCGCTTTTAAGTATACAAGCACTATATGTTTATCCGACAGAAGAACTGTAGTATCTTGTTATCATTAAAGCTGGAGGGAGAGGGAGAGAAGGACAAGAAATGCCATTTTCTTGCTCCCCCAGGTCCTTTCTTTTGATTTTGAGGTCAATTTGTCCCATACATAAATCATTCTGTCCTTATTCCTATTCAGGCAGAATGTTGCACATTATTATATTGAAAAATAAATGCAGCTGGAGACAGCAAGTCCCAGAGCCCCTCAGACACTCAATAGCAGCAGAAACCGTAAAGACCCAATAGAGGATGTTGGTAGAAACATTCAAAATGCTGTTACAACACTTTAGACAAGTACTTCACTTTGGTTTGCCTCCATAGAGACCAATGAAGAAGTCAGATGGAGCTCTGTAAACGGTCCGAACAGTTCTTTGAGAACTGGAAGTATACTACTTTCCTTCTGTTCATTTTAAAATAAGTTTAAGAGTTTGAGTTTTCTCCAGGACAGTGGTCATATCCAAATGCCTCATTCAAGTATCACAATGGCCCGGGAAACTCATAGCAATCATCTGGCAATGACAAGTTTGTTACTTTCACAGAATCATCAGGAGACATACACAAATTTTGACATCAGTAGAATCATGTACATCTCCCTCAGTATCCTACAGGCCATATTGATACTAAGAAGAAGAGATGATGCCTCTCAAACTAGGGGAGAAGATGGTGGAGGGATGGAGAGAGAACTTGCAGCCAGAATGGAAAGCAGAAGCAAATAGATGCAGGCATTTGAGGTGACCTTTTACAAAAGGCCATTTGCTCCCATGTGCAAAACTATATAGATCATTATCAAAGCCCAGTGGGGGGGGGGGGTTCTCATTGGAGACATTCCCTTCTATCCTGGAAGGAGAAGAGCTATCATTATAGGTGGAGGAGTCTCTGACATAAGAACTACCTAGGGCAATATCAAGGTCTTTCCCACTTGGTAGCTAACCCAACTCAGATAGCTCTTGGATACTAGCCTCAGCACAGAAAACTCTCCTGTCTGAATCAATATGAAAATACATGTAAATAATCTCTACTGGAGAGGACATAGCAGGAGTTGACCACTACTTGGATCTGGACTGGACACTGGACATAGAGTTCACTGATGTAGTCTATGGGGCAACTGCTGATCCACTGAAGTACTTCAAAAGTGATGCTTCTTGGAACCTCTACTAACGTTGCAGACAAGCATTCTTCCAGATGGTGTTGAAAAGTCAACAGAGCCATGTCTCTTCCTTTTGCCTTAAGGGGAGGAAGAAGATTGTGATTTCTCTGTGATTCTATAGAGGAAAGCATCAGCCCTAACTAATCAAATGGGTCCATGACACAGAAACCTTGGGACTGCCACCAGTTCCTGTAGCCAAATGTCCTGAGGGTTCAGTCAACACTGAAGACTTTGGCACTCAAGATTATGTAAGTACTGAAGAAGCCATTACAGTCAAGATGACTCATCCTGAACCTAAGCCACATTAGACAAGGTTAACTTGAGAACTGATCTAGAAGTTGATCTTCTGGACCTCTAGAGATACTCAGCTCTAAAGCAGGTGGATCCATAGATTGGGCCTTCAATGATTCCTCTAAAAAGGAAGGCCGGTAGACAATTATATCTTTATGAGCATGAGAAGATGCCACCACTGACTAAGCACTTAGCAAGGAAGTGATCCTCACCAAGACATAAGCAGCGGAAGAAATATTGTCCAGACATTTTACTGCTATCCAAGGCACACCTGTTAAAGCCTTTTTTGTCCAAGCAACTCTCGTTCAAAAAACAACAATGAACTTGTTTTATTTAATAGGGCTCTCCTGCAGGAGCAGCAGCTGCCCTTAAGAGTCACAAGCCCAAAAGTAAGTGTTTTTTTCTGAGGAAAACTGCATTTTCACCCTCTCATAACTATTTTCAGAAGTTATAAGGATCATTTTGGGGACATACTGCAATAAGCAGAACCTTACATTTCAAATTTGACAATAAAAATACCTACAGATACTGAAGACAATCTTTTGTGTGCAGCATATGCTTTGCTAAGCTTCAGGAAAATTTGTTGAAAACTGACACCCAGGCAAAAATTGCCTTTCCATTTTAGCAGGAGCCTGGATGTGCTGTGCATGTATGTGCCATGTTAAGTTTGGTGCCCAAAGCTATTCTAAATAAGTCCAAAATTCTAGACAAGCTCAGGAATAGTTTTGGGAAATGGATAATTCTCTTTATGTGCTGATCTTTGCCCAAAATTTATTTTCTTGGCCTGATGGAATGAGAACAGGGCTGAACCAGGAAGCCTTGAGCACTGCTCCCACCTCTTCAACAGAGTGCTTTTAATATTCCTTTACAGTTCACAAAACTTATTTAGCAAGGCTTTTCACCACTCCACTAAGCTGTATGCAAATAATACCACTTCCCTCTGAGTAACTAAGACATACAAGTTAAGTGACTCACCCAAAGTCATACAGAGAATCTGTTAACCTGGTATTTGAGCCAAGACTTCATATCTATTAGATTAGACCAGAGAGCACATAAGTGTACTGCTTCAAATCTCTGGTTGAGATTTTGAAAGCTAGCTAGGGGAGTTAGAAACAAATCTTCCATTAATTTTAATGGAAGGTTTCCTCTGAGTGTTAATTAAATCTGTCAAATGTGATTAATGTTTACCCACTTTGTAAGTAACTTAAAATACTGATGACAAAGCACCCATTGCTTGCCCATTGGGGTGGTCCTCCATAATACTTCCACATCAATAAGCAGTTAAGCTATTTACAAAGTGCTACTCTTCACAGCCTCCAAAGGCTTACCTACTAGCACTAAACAGGATATTTTTCTAAAAACACTGTTCTGTTCTCCCACTAGCAGGGCCTGCTGTGAACTACTAATCTTCTCCACTCTTAACAAAGAGAAGAGGCACAGCAAGCAGGTATCAGAGTGGTAGCTGTGTTAGTCTGTATCAGCGAAAACAACGAGGAGTCCTTGTGGCACCTTAGAGACTAACAAATTTATTTGGGCATAAGCTTTCGTGGGCTAGAACCCACTTCATCAGATGCATGAAGTGGAAAATACAGGAGCAGGTATAAATACATGAAAAGATGGGAGTTCCTCACACTTGGTAAGGCAACTCCCATCTTTTCAGGTATTTATTCCTGCTCCTGTATTTTCCACTCCATGCATCTGATGGAGTGAGTTCTAGCCCACGAAAGCATATGCTCAAATAAATTGGTTAGTCTCTAAGATGCCACAAGGACTCCTCGTTGTTTTAGCAGACAGGTACACAGTCTTGGGCACGTGTCACAGTAAAAACCGCCTAAGGGAAGTTTAGGGAGTGGGAAGAGATGTAGTGGCTGGCGAATAGAGACATACTGGTTTAGGGGCAGCTGCAGTGTGTTTAAAATGGAGAAAGGTGTAAAGGGGCCTGCAAAATACAGAGAGGAGGAAGACAGAGGAAGATAGGTGGGGGGGGGGGGGTAAAGGTAGACAGGATAGCTTGAGGGAAAGATTTAGAACCCATTTAAAATACATAATCCATCATTTTGTGGGAGGGAACCCATTTATAGCATGGTAACTTCCCTGACAATTAACTATGGTCTTGTAGTATAGATACCTTAAACTGTGCTAGAGCCTTTGAACTTTTGCAGGGTTGTAGACAAGTGAAGAATATGGTTAAATCACAGTTCACAGCTGCCTATGCTTGTAAAACCGAACTAGAATCAGTTTTGGGGAAGGTATAAAATTGGGATCCCAACCCTGTAATTTTAAAGTGCAGATAGTACTTTCAAAGAAGGGAGAGATAAACATCAATCGGTGGAAAAATTAAAAATAGAAGAAAATGTGAAGAGACGAAAGAAAGCAGAAAAAACAAGGAAGAAGCAAAGCTTATTGATTTGTATAAAATTAGATGTCAAAATGTTACAAATACACACACACCATATGATTGTTTTTTTTTAAATCACATCAGGGGACTTCAGGGACCGTTACTCTATTGCAGGAGGGTGCTTCAGAGACAGAGGCTAATTCCTTTGTATGGAGACGAGGTAAACTTCATTTGATTTGGTTTGATTTCTACATTGTTGATTCTGGCTATAGGTAATTTTTTTTGTCCTCTGTCTTCACGCACAAGGTCAGCT